TGATCGAGGGTGCTGCCATTGGAGCTCGCCGTGGGCCGCGTGCATCGGAGCGCGACGCGGGCACGAGAAGAAGGGCCGAAGCACGAACGATTGGGAGGGAGTGGAGGCGTGGGTTCGTGCCCGGTGCGCTGGCTCGTGTATAAAGCCACACGGAGGCCGTTGTAACATCTGTGGAGTGAGATCGAGTTCGTGCTCGAGGGGAAACAAGCCGTCTGTGCGGTGGGAGTTCGTGTGCCGGAACTGCACCGTGTCTCCTTTCTCCTCGTGTTTTCTTCTTCCTCATTCTGGTTTGGGCTAGGGTGAGGTGACAGAAAGAGAGAGGTAGGAAAGGGGTAGAGGTAGGGTAGGGTTTTGCAACAACAGATTTAACCGAGTCCTAACCACCCAACAAACGAGTGCAACTACGACTCTCCCAATTACTACTAGTTCGACCGGTAGTACAGTCTATCTCCGACCAGTTCATCTCGTCGATCGCTGGTCCTGTATTCCCGCTCCGATGCTGACAGCGCCGCTGACGGTGTCGTGTTGTCCAATTGTTGCTGCGGCTGCGGCGTGGGAGGAGGATCATGACGGTGCACGATGATGTCGATGTGCGGCAGCTCAGTTCCGGCGGCGCGGGCCTTGGCTGGATCGTTCTCCACGGCCTCGCGGCCTTTTCCCCAGAGCACGGAGTAGAGGCCCATCACGATGAGAACAGCGCCAAGCACGCTGCCGAGGTGCAGCTCCTCACCGAGCCGCAGCAAGCTGGGCACGGCCACCACGACCATCATCATGGGGTTGAAGACGGATGCGGGCTGAGCTCCAAGGCCGTCGCCGGCGCGCTCATGTGAAGCGCGAGGCCTTCACGAGCGCCGTGTACCCGGGAGGACCATGGTGCTCTGTGCTGGCCATAAGAACTTCAGCAGTGGACTCACAGCTCTCGCACTCGGACTCGTCCGTAGGCTCCTCGTGCAGGGTGGAGAATAGATCAAGGATGGGCTCGTCATGCTCGAGCACCGCCATCTGAAAAGTTGCAGCCTGAAGGGCCATAGCGTGCCAGAGCCAGCGCTGGAGCCACGAGTGCCTTGAACGCTTGCGGCGGCGGCCAGCGGGTGCCTCGCGGAATGGGACTAATGGCTGTCAGAGAAGGACTCGTAGGATGACACGCGCAAGGGCGCCGCGCCCCGGACGGGCAGCGACTCCACGTCCAGCAGCGCTACCTGGAGCCATGCCAAATGTTCGGCGACGAAGCTAGGCACCGAATCGGATATCGCAACCGAGAATAATGATGATGATAATGATGAAAATTCCACCTGCGCTGGATACCGCTAGACGCGCAGCCCCACAGTGAGTGCCAAATCTCAAGGCAATGAATTTGACAGTGAGTACTAGGTGTACGAACAGGGGCTGAACCTAGCTACGACACAGGTGTAACACAAGGATTTACGAGCTCACGCCCCACTCGGAGATGTAGTAGCTCTACGTCTCGAGCTATGGATCTGTGTTTTTCTCTGGGTGTGTATGATTACAGTAGGTTGCGAAACCTTGTCCACTCGCTAGAAGGCGTCTTATATAGAGTGTGTCGTCCCCGGTTAAAGCCACGTTACAAGGGAGATACAAAGGAAAGTTAATACAGGCGTTACTGGTAACTGTAGCTATAACTACACTTCAAGTTCAACGTGAAGCCCTTCGAACATTGCAGCTCCCACGTCGCCTCTCCACCTTCTGTATCCGAGTGATGCCGGTGAGGCCGACTGGAAGGAAGACGTCCAGGTGGCCGGACCATATCCGAGTGGATATCCAGGAATGCGCATCCGAATGCGCTGTGGTCCGGAGACCCTCCAAAGATGGAATGGGGTCCTAGGTGGACTTCAGATGTCAGGTCTATGACCCTACCCTTAGTAGGTGACCCCATCACTAGCAATCGTGAGTGTGGACTTGACCAACATGTCTCTGAACAAAAGAAGTTGGACCGGGCGGCAAAACAAGATGTTCGGCCAAGACAGCAAGAACTAGGGAGGGCTCGACCCTGGACTATGGCCGATCTTTTTGAAGACGGGCAAGTGTACCGTCCGATGGCTTTGTTGCCAGCAAGAAAACTTGGGGGTTCTTCATTTGAAAGGTTGGCAAGGGTGCCGACGAGAGAACTTGGGGGTTGATCATTTTACACGCTGACATATGTGTGGTGTCGGCCGCCTGCTTTGGTGCCAGCATGAACTATGGCTGCGGTTGCAAAATTTCATTTGCAAAATATTTCAGGCGGGTGGACGAGATGCTTCCGCGCGTTGAGTGCACGGCCAACGTATCCAGAAAACGGCCGAACGTCACCCATTGCCCTACCCAAACAAACAAAATTCAGAAAAATCAGACGTCTGTTTGGGGTCGTGCGTTGGAGCTGGCCTTACAACAAATATATTATATTGTTTATTATACTCCCATCATACCAAATACATGGCATATACACTGAGTCAAAGAGTCAATGCTTTCTAACTTGGACCAAATATATAGATGAAATTGTTTATCTTTATATTTTTGTATATTTTGATATTTTGATATTGATTTGATATTGTTTATCTTTATATAATTTTGTATGTATGCTTGATCAAACTTAGAAGCATTGACTTTTTGACTCAGTTTATGTCACGCCCCGAGACCGGGCCTAGGTGAGACAGCCGCCGCGAGCCTATAGACCAGAGGCCTATAGTCACGCAAGGCGTAATTAAGCAGGCATAAACCACCAGTGGATCACAAAAGCTCATATATTAACTACACAAATACTTTACATTTACTAAATAGCCAAAATATACTAAATACTCTAGTCGTTTCCCACCCACCGGACCAGCCTATTCTTCTATAACATCTTCTGGGCATACTTAAGTTGCATCGTCTGCATCTAAAAAAAACAAAGGAAGCAAGGGTGAGTACGACAAGTCATACTCAGCAAGCAGATACTTCACTATTCAACAACAGTAGAATTTAAGGATATTGATACAGTAACAACAGATTGACTGTATCTAAGGAGCATAAATAACGTGACAAATTGCTGGAGCCAATTCATTGGAAACAGATAAAAGAACAACATAACCGGATATAATGAAAATGGACCAAGAAATTATTGGCGTCACACATGACCGCAAGCTTCCCAACCCGGGAGTCACAGGGGTGAAATTTCACACTTTTACGCTCTTAAGAGGGGTACTCCGACGTCGACAGCCTCGACTAGAACCACACAGTTTCCAGAAAAGCAGAGCTCTTTGATCCCCTAAGAACCGACCACCCGACTTACTAGTGTTGATCGCTCGTACGGATCCATCACCGACACGCTTCCGAACGGGTGTCGTTCTTAGCGAAGAACTCAGACAGTCCCATACCTGAACTGTGACTGGTACAATACGTTTGCCGTCGTGACACCAATGTATATGGACCAAAATATGATATGTGGCTTAATCAACGATAGGATCACTGGAATATCAATATGCTCATGGCTTTACATGAGTTCCTCTCAAAACAGAATGATTCCATCAACAAATGGATTATGAGGAAAACACATCTCTCTTTCAAGGATCAAGAGAGGATCAACAAAGATCAAGGTGCAATGATATTACCAGATAATCAAGCAAGGCAACAATAAGGAGAGATCAGGGAGTTTAGCAAAGCAGCTACTTGCTTCGATACTAGGAATTATTCTTCATAGCATCAGATATATATTTTTCCTCGATGGACCGCTGTTATGTAAATGCCGCACCATAGTACACGTATATTCTACATACTCAGCTTGGCCATCTTCTATGTCGGCTGGCCAACTATATCTGTATACTTTCTTCTATGTATGTATACTCATTAGCACCTTCCCCTCACTCTCCTTCTACAAATATATTCATCAGTGTCTCTCCCCCACTCTGCTCTCCTCTGACTTTCTCTTCTTTCTTTCTCTTGGAGTTGTGGGGTGCAAGTAAGCGGCTGCAGCAGCAAGGGTATATATAGGGAGAGAGCACCGTCTAAGCATCAACGAAATATCTAGCCATGTTGTCTCTTGGAGTTGACCCTTGGAAATGGTAAAAGGCAACGCCGGACGCCGTACTATGAGTTAGCAAAATGAGTTGCTCTCATTGGCTCACCCTCTCACATGTGTCAAAGATTCACAGGATGACTACCACGTATCTCTCCACGTACTCCGTATGAGATTAGAAATGTCCAAGCCACTAACTGCATGCCACGCCACCTCCACGTGCATAGGATTTTACTTAGCTTGTAAGGATAGTACAACGTACGTGTGCATTCTCATCATTACATGCATGCACATCTTCTAATATTTGGCCATCTCCTCATTACTAGCTTGTACTGCCTAGTAGTATTTCTTTACATTCAAATATAGCGTGGATGCGTGTATGCTAGTCTCAAATGTATATATACATACTTCTCCTTAGTGTGTAATTATTTTCATCTAATATTTATTGCATGGAAAACTTACTTGTCTATTATATTTCTTTGAAAGAACGAAAACAGACTATATTATTTATTTTCACTGATAATACATATATCCTTATTCATCTTAATTTAAAATAATAACCCTAAAATATGGGTTATTACAGTTTATATGCCATGAATTTGGAGACAGAGGGAGTAACATCTTATAATATGAGACCGGGTTGTACATTCTACCAAGTTGTAAAATGGAGTTGATTTCTCATCTAAAAGGATTTTGTGTCCGAAATTTATTGGTTTGTCCATTAATTCATCTCATCCTGCTGAAGTTCCTTGTACTACATCCTTCCCTCCTCTATCTTCACATTTCAGCACCAACAGAATCAGAGAAGCCACTCCTTGTAACTACGCTAGATATCTAACCGAGTCCTAACCACCCAACAAACGAGCTCAACTACTACTGACTCTCCCATTTGCGACAAGTTCCAACGGTACAGTCTCTGTCCATCCTTTCCTGACAAATGAAACAGTAACAAATCTTGGGCCAGTTCATCTCTTCGATCGCTGGTCCTCTTCCTGCATGCCTGCTCCGATTTTTACCGCGCCGGCCCCGGCTCCGTGCTCTGCTGCTGCGGCGTCGGAGGAGGATCATGGCGATGCACGACGATGTCGATGTGCGGCAGCTCGGTGCCAGCGGCGCGGGCCTTGGCCGGCTCGTGCTCCACGGCCTCGCGGCCTTTTCCCCAGAGCACGGAGTAGAGGCCCAGCACGATGAGCACGGCGCCGAGCACGCTGCCGAGGTGCAGCTCCTCGCCGAGCAGGAGCGAGCTCAACACGGCCACCACCACCAGCATCATGGGGTTGAAGACGGACGCGAAGAGGGGGCCCCGGCGCTTGACGCACCAGGAGAGCACCACGAGCATGACCCCCGAGGCGACCACGCCGGTGTAGAGGACGGCGAGTAGGTGGACACCGGAGGAGAGGCGCCACTGGATGAGGTCCCGGTCGAAGCAGAGCGCAAAGGCGGCGGACTGGAGCGCGCTCATGCCACACATGAGCGCCGTGGTGGAGTAGTGGAAGGGGTACTCCCGGCTGAGCCGGGCCTGCAGGATGAGCCAGAGCGCGTAGAAGAAGCAGCTGCCGGTGCAGAGCAGGCAGCCCATGGCGCGGTTGCCGCTGTCCGGGTGAAGGGAGGAGGAGGCATGTTCCTCGTGTTGGTGCCGGGCGGCGAGCTGGGCTGCGAGGTTGATGTGGGTGGGTGGCCAGGGGGTGACCTGGGCGCCCTTGTAGAAGGTGAGCAGCATGGCGCCGCCGACGCCGAGCAGCGTGCCAGTGACCTTGGCCAGGCCGGCGAGAGTGCGGATGGCGAGGCGCTCGTAGCGGAAGAGCACGGCGAGCACGAAGGTGATGGCCGGGATGAGGTTGGTCATGGCGGAGGCGAAGGTGGCGGAGGTGAGCTTCATGCCGGAGATGTAGAGGTTCTGGGCCAGCGAGCCCCTGCATGAAACATTTTGCAACCAGTCAAGTCCATACACACGTGTAGTGTACATATGCATGTTGAGAAGTTATCGATCCATCTCATGTGCTCGATCGCGTCATGCATATGCAAATGCAATGTCACATCAACATTCAAAAGGAACGTAATCGATCACACGTATGCTTTTTTTGGTCATATACGTCGTACGTACGGTAGCTGCATGACACGCGTCGTACGTACATACACGTGTCAATCTTCTTCATCGTGACCAAGTTCCACAGCTAGACGTACGTACTCCATTAATGGCGGAGTCGATATATATCTAGGGACGTGCAACGTGGGCGACGACGAGTTGAAAATTGCAGACGAGACGAGCTAGGCGATGAAGCCGGCAATATGCATGCAGAAAAACTACTCTAGTCCAAGAAACACGCCGATAGAATGTAATTATGTAACCTGACGTACATACACCATACATACATCCATATAACTCCTCTCCTCCATTGGAAAAGAAGGTGACGCGTATATACGGACGTGGTGTGGATATTCGACACGACGACGATGCTCCATTGGGAATGCATACATCCAATCCAATGCGGTGCTAGCTTAGGTATAGGCGTGCATGCATGCATGCATGGATACGCAAGTCAAGGAGGAGATAAATGCGCGCGCGGGGGCGGCCCGGCGTACGTGGCTGCATGTCCACCCATAGCTGGCTCCATCGGTGCAATTGTACTAAGCAGTTGAGCACGCATGCGTGAGTACAGTGACCGATGGAGTTGACAAAGCGAGCATCAGGGGCAGCACGTGGACGATGATGTTCACAGACGAGTAGCTAGCTCCATGTTTTGTAAAGTGAGAGGACAGGGCGTACGTGGAGTTTGTACTTTGTTTGGCAGGCAAACTAAAGCTAGCTAGCAGCAGGGGGTTCCATCGGGTCGGATCGAGCAGTTGGTTGTGCCTAACTAATCATACATCAAGTGGTTGGAACTTGGAAGCACCATGCATGTGCTGGATAGATGGAAAAGGAAGGTAAAGTGTTGGCCGCCGGCGAGCACCCCGTGACGCATCCACCGGCCGGCCGCCCGGTTGACCTTGCATTGGGAGGGTATTATGCACCGTTGCATTGAGCCCCCTAGCTAGCTACTCCCTCCGTCCGAAAATACTTATCATCAAAATGGACAAAAAGGGATGTATCTAGAACTAAAATATATCTAGATACATCCCCTTTTATTCATTTTGATGACAAGTATTGGGAGTACATGCATGTGTGCATCATTGCAAAAAGCAGCGTCGCACCTAAATTCCGGCAGCCATGCCAATCCGGCCTAACCTTTTGCTCCTTTTGCTCTCCTTCTCAATAGTTGTGGCAAGTGCAGTAAACAAAGCAGAGAAAAATGAAACAACAACAACAACAACAACAACAACAATTTAATTAAAATTAGAGCTTACCCACAGAGCCCGCAGACGAAGGAGAGCAGCAGGACTCGCCACGTCACCTTGGTTCGCTTCTTCCTGCTCGAAACAAATAAGGCAGCAGAGAATGATTAATCCATATTATAGTAGTCAGTCAATACACTGCCATGCAAGTGTAAAATGGTACTAATATATATATATATAAAGTTTGTCAATTAAAAAAAATCATGTACTCTACTCGTTAATCAGGTAGCATGCATATGGAGTGCCTATAGAATGATGATAATAAAGTGAAGCATCTGCACACGTACACATAACATAGTACTTGATACTCCGGAAGCACATATGAATATATTGTACTCTACTTTCTGAATTCTTTTTCCAACAACGGAATATAGTAGGAGAAGGAAGATATGTAGACTGTAGCTTTTTCACAAAGCTCTCGTTTTTATTGCTAGACCAGAAACAATTGGGGGGCGTCCGGTCGGGTCAACACAAAGGGGAGGGAACATCGGAAAACATGGAGAAAGAGCGAGAAAAGGACATGCATGCATGCACTGGCTCCATTAATTGGCTTCTTCAGAGAATGAAACTACTTGACCCAACACACACAGAAAGGTGCAAGAACACTAATGATTCTTAGTAAAAGAAGCTCACCTCAAACTAGTATATTTACAGTTCAGTATATATACTCCAATAGTTAGTAGTACTAACAACCGATTGAAAAATAAGCATCGATCGTGATGATGTGTGTGTACTAGATGCTTCGGAATATAATGCATGCAATCATGCATGTGTGCGATCGAGTAAATTTAGTGCAAGGGGGATTTGAATCTTGGGAAAGGATCGAATGGACGGAGGAGCTAGGTAATTAAGGTACCTCTCGACGAAGTATGCGATGGGCGAGAGGACGGCGGAGGCGAAGAGGAAGCGGTAGGCGACGAGGACCCGCATGTCCATGCCGTCGCTCACGGCCAGCTTGTAGAAGATGTTGACGCCGGCGAACACGAACTGCACCACCACCATCGCCGCCACCGGCTTCATCCCCTCCATCACGCCCACGCCCATTCCCTCCGACGGGAGAAGAGATGCCGGGATGATTAATTGGACGATCCCCGATGGTCTAGGTGATGGAGGTGTGAGGTGGGCGCGGTGGAAGAGTCCGGCGTGCGGACGTACGGAGCTGGGGCGAGATAACGGGGGATGCCGGGGCCGGCCGGGGAGACTGGCCGGTCGACGACGACGGCCCGGTTAGCTAGCTGACGCGTTTGGGTGTTGGTGTGGTTTGGGGCCGGAGAGGCGACGGAGGCGAAGTGGGCGGTGGCGGTGGAGGAGCAAGTGCATGCCGCAGGTACATATATAGGCGGCAGGGAGGAGCTGAGAGCGAGCTAACGGAAGGGGCGATTCTCTCTCTCTCTCTCTCTCTCTCT